CAAGTTCCAGTTCTCTAGTTTATGACATATGGATCAGAACCAAATGAACAAGATGATGGATGGATGGACGAACAAATTAGATGGATAGATTGGATTTATGTGGGATGCAGGGATGGATGATGAGAGTGACGTATAGCTTAACTAGTAATGAAAAAGTTGGACATCTCTGTCCCTCCATCTATCTCTCTCCCTCCATCGTCTTCCTGCATTATAACTTGCCAACACTGATCTTAAATTGGATCTGAGGCGTTTAGCTCTAATTTAACACAAACATCGGTTTTTAAGGGTGAGCAGCACTAAGGTTCATTTAGCTAATCAAGTGGCTGATTGCATTGTTAACACTAATTAAAGCAAACCACCTCAGTGCACAGGTTAGCGCCGACTGATTCACATAGTGGATGTGGATCAATCAGACTAAATATCTAAATATCTACCCGACCTCAGAGAGTGAAAGAGGTCAGATTTTACTCTGACACACACAGTGTGGAAAATCTGGTGCCACACCTAGCGAGCGATTGAGCCGTCTCATCTCTGGTTTCTGACTCACTGGGATGTAATATCATGTGTAAGTGTGAACACCTGCTGCTGTGTGAAGGCTGATCCACGCTGCGAGAGACAAAAAGGAGGGAGGAGAGGGAGAGGCGGCTCGATGGAGCCGAACGGCAGCAAGACGAGCCGCTGTGAGCACTATCCTCATCTGAATCCAGACTTAATGCAACAAGCGCTGCGTGAGCTGAGGATCATTCAGCCTGTTTTCACCCCTCAACACATACCAGTAGGCTGCTGCATTCCCAGTCTGCCTCCAGCAGGAAAACATGCTTTACTGGGCAGCTCTGTGTGGCCTCAGCAAAACTTGGAACAAGCCGAGACATGGACGGGCTGCTTGTAGAAGAACGTGGAGCTTTTTTGATGCAAACAGATCCTCCTTCCTGTGACCACAGCGGTTAAATGCAGCTCTGCAGACTCCACCTGGGAACACTGGACCTCTTTGGTTGATAAATTAACGTTTTCTCATGGTGTCACAACAGGACTTTATAAAAACAGAAAACAACAACAACAACAACAAAACAGACCTGTTCAGTCCACTTTAATCAAACTCTGGTTAGTTTGTGAAGAAAGCCCGGTTCGTTTGAACTCTGATGCAGATCAAAAAAAGTGAACCATTTAATCGTTTTATCGTTATTTGTTGCCATTTGTTTCTTGATAAACAGCGACAAACTGAACAAAACCAAAGTTATCTTATTTGATAAAATGAGACTTTTCTGAGTGATTTGAGAGTAATACATATCACATGTGTGGTTCGAGGCTCCATACTTAGGCCACTTTTGTTCAAAATCAATATATTCCCGGTGACTCCGACTTCAGAGAACTAAAACATCTTTTATGATCTGACAACACATTAGATTTATATTTAAAAGCATAAATAAAGAGGAACAATCTTAGCACACAGCTTCAGTTAATACAGCTGGAAATTAGTGATCAGGCCAGAAATCTGAGTTCTGGTCTGAACCTTCAGAGCCACATAAAGACAGTTACAAAGTCGGCCTTCTGACACCTAAAGAACATCTCCAGGATTAGAGGACAAATGTCTCAGCGAGATCTAGAGAAACTCATCCATGCATTTTTCTTTAGTTGCATTGATTACTGCAACAATGTCTTCACAGGTCTGACTAAAAACCCAATCATCCCACTACAGCTGATCCAGACCTCTGCTGAATTAGGTCAGTGAATATTTATGGAATCACTTATGTTCCATATTTTCTATGTAATTGTCTTTTTTTTATTTTGACATTTATTTATTTTTGTTAATTTTATTAATTACTAATTTGTAAAAGCAAATCAAGTGGGTGAATGAATACTTTTATAGGTATCGCATTTTAGTAAGAAGAAAAGGCAAAAATGTCAGAATCTAGATAAATGCAAAAAAAAAAACATTTGCAGTTGCAGCAACAAGTGGTTTTACAAGATATTACCTCACTTTTCAAATAATCACATCTAATCCCAACACAAAACATTTAAATTTATGGTTTTAGCGAGATAAAATGTTGTTCAAGTTAAATCCATTGATTTTGATGAGGCTTCTGGAAGGGCCGGGGTCGGTTACCACAAGTCATCCGGGCAATAATAATCCAAAGACGCTAATCCAATTAGTGTGTTAGTCTGTGTATGTTGACTAGAGCGACCCGCAGTGTGATTTCAGGACACACACCGGCTGCGTATGTAGGAGGGTTTTATTCTAACGAAATTATAGATGTGAAGTTTGTCAAAACTTATTTATTCTTTGAATTTACTTTGTTTAGTCAACAAGTTGTTTCTCCAGACATTTATTTATTCGTGTTTTAAGTTCTATTACGCTGAGCAGGGCAGTTGGTGGTTACCATAGCAACCAGTAACTGACAGCTCCTCCCCCTTTTTCTGTTGCCGTCGGTAACTGTGGTATATTGGGATCAGCTCTGTGTTTTCTTTGCCAGTATTATATTTTAACATACATTTTAGACGGATTTAATTACAGTGTTTCATGAGTAATTCTGCTATGTTTTGTTTATGTTTTTAACTGTCATAATTATTAATGTTTCCCACTGTAACTATGATTAATTTGACGACTGCTAACTGTTGCTCATTCGGAGCCGTTGCTTTGTAGTTTGTTTAGGGTTATTTATTGTATCTTAATTCACATAGTGGCAGAAGCTGCTGGATTGATGTTAGCCACCTATTTTGATTTCCTGTTTTGTTAGAATAAATACAATGAGCCTGACTATTGTGAAGTCAACCTACAGGACCTGCGACAAACATAGAAGTGTTGCACATAATCAGGAGAAGGATTGAACATCTAAGACCCATAATGTGCAGAACAACTGAGTTTGAGCCTAACCGATGGTCCGTCAGCTGAAATTTTCCACCAATACCAACATCTGGCCTTACATGTCTGACATGTTTTTGTGTAAAAACACTTCCTCTGCCTCCAGCTCTGGTGTCAACTGGGCTATAAACCCCCGCAAGTCCCAATCAGCCGTGGCAACCGGTCTAAATTTGGCAAGAGGTCCTTAAAAACGAGGCGCCGCTCAGGATCGGTGGGTTTCCCAACGTGCTAACGGTGCATGTGACTGCAAAGAAATGCCTGGCACCAATAATCCAGCTAATCCTTCCCTGTGGTGCACCCAATGCTTAAATAAGACGTAGCTGTGAGAAAAAAAACAGAGAAATGCAGGGAGAGGGAGGAAGAATCCGTCCTGATCCCTCGCTGCTTTCCACATTAAAGGCAGGAATTACTGTAATTAGAGAGATGATAATATTTCTGCATTAGCTGCTGTAATGTGCCATGTATTTTGTGGTTGTTGCATCAGTCGCCAAATTCCCATCCAGACTTTCTTGTTGGATTTTTTTAAGCAGGCTGATTTTGCAAAACAAAGCTGCTCCAAATCTGACTGAAAATGAGCAGAAAAAACCGAGCCTGATGCTGGAATAACAAAACGGCGTAAAATCACTCAACAATGCAAACATCACTGAAAGGTATTTAAACTTCTTGTCCATTTAAACCACACACACACAAAAAATTAATTTGATGAACTGAAGTGGTTCATGTCTGCTCCCAGAACAAGGAAATGGACTTTTATCATTTGTCCTATTGATTGCAGATACAGCTATGGCGTAAATGCATTTCCACAATGTATTATAGCATTTTGCTCATTCTGTACAATTTGTAGGCCAGACAAAAATCCATACAACATAGATAAACTGGCTTCCCTTTCTTTAGGTTTTATATTTAATGCTTGTGTTATCCCATCTGTTTTCATAACGCTTAACTTTTTATTTTAATATAGCATCTTCAGTCTTATACATACATTTTTAATGTGTACACTTTCATACTTGTCCAATAATAGTAAATAAACAATACCAACAATAATACAAATAATACTTTTATTACTCTTAAGTTAGCTGTGCTAATCTGAAAGCGCTAATCATAAACATTAGCTTTGCTAATGCTAAAGCGCAAAACCAAAATGGTATTTAGCAGAAGCTAATGCTAAAGCGTCAACTTCTATTTAAATTGCATCTGTTCTTGAAAGACTACAAACCTCACGCTATAATTTACATGTTCTATAAAGTCCTTAAATATTGAATTACTGTTTTTATCTCGCTCTCTACTGTTTTTATTTTGCTCCTGCGCATTTCTTGTTTTAAATAGTTAAGAAAAAAAGAAGAAAGAACTAAAGAGAGGAAACAGAGCTGCTTCCCTCACTTCAAGATAAAAGCACGAATAGAAACAGTTAATCGCTTGAATTAGCATTTGCCAACTAAAACATAAACAGATGTCGAACTTTGTTCAACTGAAAATTTATAAAACGACAAAGTAAATTAGCACTTTAAAATTTATCTGGAAAATTTATTGAAGGAAAGCTTAATAAATTTAGCTTCCCCTAAATTTGTAGCTTTTTAGCTTCCTCTAAACGTTTTCAACATTAACAAAAGAGCTAAGCTAAAAATTAGCTCCACTATTAGCAAATTAGCATAAATGTGCCCATGTTCTTACTGCTATAACCATTATTTTACACTGAAATAATACATTTATACAACATCACTCACTCCCTCCAAAAGACGCATAATGTATCACATCACAACTTTTGCTTTTACTATTGATGCTTATTGGATTCGTAAAGGAGTGACAGAGCCATAATTTCACAGAAAACACAGGAGAGCTGCGAAATATCAGGAAAATATTGAATTTATGATTACAGTTGTTCCACACTCCTCTGACTCTTTTCTTTCTTTACCAACACCATGCTGCCCCACCGCTCTCTGTGTGTTTATTACCCCATACATCAATATAAGAGGTGTTATTAAAGGCAACCAACTGGCCACTCAGCGTTACACTCTAAATATCCTACTAATTATTGTATCCAAGTGGTCGTTTGCGATTCCCAATGAAAGCATATTTTTAGTGGCTCAAATGTTCAAGCCCATTATCACCCAGTCATCCCTCAAAGGGCAAATCATTTTATTTATGCCTTCAGCCACCAAAAGTTGTTTTATGAAAGCTTCTCTACCAATCTAGACCATTATTTATCCTCTGTTTGTCCGTCCTGGTGTTTCGTCTGTCCATCTATATTTATTTGGCCGCCTTCTAACTATCAGTGAGACTCGTATGGGCGTGAAGCAGACAGGAAGGTTCCGACCTGAGTCGCTGACACCAGAACAGAGACGGATCAGCAGATAGCAGCCGACAGGCTGGAGGATAGCTGTGCTTCCACTCACCATGAAATCATACAAACTGGAATTACAAAAATAAATTCGGTCAATGGAAAAAGGACAATTTTTTAAAAAACTCGCTTTTTTGATAAAAATGTTTTTTGCATAATATGGGTCATGTGATCAACAGCTGGATGTTACTACTGGCAAAAATGATGAAGAAGACAACAGGAAGTGGTAGGAGGATGGTAGCGCTGAATGGTTTTTACCGACTTCCCACGTGAACAAAATAATTTACTTGCGATTTTAACGGCATTTCTTGTTTAATGAAAACACTACAATTGCAAAATTCTATTATTTTGACATTTTCCTGCCAACCTCTACCTCCTCCCATCACGGTGCAAGAGACGAAAAACAGAGTGGTTAAAAAGAAGCGAAGGGGAAAAAGCCAAAGGGGACTTGCACTCTGCTCCTAAGTAAATTAGGAGAAAAAGACCTTTTTGTCGTCTCCATCTCAACTCGTTCTGAGATTCGATGAGTCACCGCTACAAACTCTGTGGAAAGTGCCCACACTGTTTGGGGAACAATGGCGTCCAGTAAATGCCACTTTCTGAACACAAGAACCAAAAGCGGTGAAATTTACTGCTACACATAAAGCTGAGTGTAAGTTTCTCCCTCACTAAAGAAACGCAGCTCACAGTCCGGTTCTTCTCACCTCTTAGGAGCAAAATAAATTCCTGTAAATTACGTTTTAATTTATTTTTCTTCAGTATTGAAAGTTCTGTTTTGGTAATTTTGTTTGACTTATGCTGCTCAAAAAGCAGAGCAAAAAGCAGATTCCTTTAGGTCATCATCACCTCTGAATGGCTCCTTAACCTCACCAGACAGAAACTTTGTTCTTATTCAACTAAAATTACATCACCTATACCAGTGGTGTGACCCAGTGGTACCAGGCCCGGTTCAGACTGTCAGCCTGTTTGGAACAAACATATCACTGTTTCAGTGAAGACTCCCTCACAAATGGAAACATTAACATTAAAATTTGACTTTTTTGTGGAGATCTGGATTGGACCGTTCAGAAAGAGCCATCTAAGAGTCAGAAATGTTTTGCGTTAATTGCTGTGTCAACATGGCAGTAGTTTCTGATTGCTGCTGGCTGCTTCACAATTTTTTACTATATTAAACCTAAACTATAAACAATGAGAATGTGTTCTTGAATTATTGCTTGAAAATGGTCTCAAAACAACAATATTATCATATATCGCAATTCTGGGACAATTTATCGTCCAGCACCAGGCCCAACTTGTGGCTCCTAAAACTAGTGCAGGGTTTTCTTCTCCCCAGTGAAACACTGAGGGGGAGAAAAATATCTTTGCCCTAATTATCAGCATTTCTTCTCTTCTCTTGGCCCAGAATTGCTCCACTTACAGTCTTAGTTCCTCCTAGATCTACATTTGCTGAAAATAACTCAGAGGAGGGCAGACTACTAAAAGATTTTACTCAAGTAAGAGCAGATACATCATAATAAAATTACTGAAGTAAAAGTAAAAAGCAAAGCGTAGTAAAAATACTCCTAAAAATATTTTTTTCCAAAAAGGTTACTAAGTAAATATAATTGAGTAAATGTAACCAGTTACTATCCAACTCTGTAAATCAGCAGGCACTGCCCGGTACCTAGCAACCCCAGCAGAGTTCCGCCCGTTACCTAGCAACCTCAGCAGAGTTCTGCCTGTTACCCATCAACCACAACAGAACTCTAGCAGGTTTGGTCAGCTGGTTTAACCGCTGTATGCACTGTACAATGGCTGCTGGAAAAGAAGAGTGTTTTGTTGTTGACTTACCATCCAGAAAGTAAAAGTAAAAAGTACAGTATAGTAAAAATACTCCTAAAAGTATATGTAATACTGGCAGGGGAGAGAGTGGCGGTACTTCAAGGGCTTTCCTGTGATAAAGTGAAGACGCTCTGCAAACAGCAGCACAAAGCTACCGAAGGTCAAGCAACAGCATAAAAATCAACCAAGTGGAAGATCTCCAACTACATGTTTGGCTGCCAGCCGTGATGTTTTTATCTCTGTGAAAAATGTCCCCTCACTTCCCGCCTTCCTCTGACAGCTGAAGGGATTTTGCAGCTGGTTTCTTTCAGCCGATGGTGAAAAGCTCACTCTGACAGAAACAAGAACTCTGCCTTCGCTTAATTTCATTTAGCCTGTCAGAGCAATCCGGCCGCTTGACATATATCTGTTTTTAAGCTTAGATATATGTCAGTATGGACTTCAATACAATGAAGTACGGCGTAAAAGATAGAAAAAAAAAAGTTTTTAGTAAAATTTTATGGAAACTGTTTTGAAACTAAATTTATTTGCTTTATCATGCTACAAAATAGCACTCCATGTGTGAAAAACACGTAGTACTGCCCCTTTAAGAAGACCTGGAGTTATTTTGATCTACCTGGAAACTCTGGTTTCTTGTAGAGAACGCATAAAGAAATGAGGTGTAATTTTCATTTTTCCCCTCAGGGCATGTTTTCGAAAAGTGGAAACAATTAGAGGCTTATGATGGATGATTATTTATCCTCCTGTTCTCCACCTACTGGGTGGCGTCGCTAGCTAGCATGTCGAAACTGGTTCGTTCCAAGTCTCTGGTGAAGACTTCCTGGTTTCCAGCTGGGATCTGCATCTGCTGGTGATGGGATGTCTGGACGCGTCGACGGGCTCTGCCATGGCGATGGCTCTGCTTGCTTTGTTCGGAGGACAGACGTGGCTTTGTGCCGAGGGTCGTTTTCTTGTTTTCATAGGAGGAGGACATGGTGGAGCTGAAGGTTTTATTCGCTCCATCAATCCGTCACATTCTCTCCCATTCCAGCCTCTCATAACTGAGGCCTCCTTCCTGTTTCGCTGTTATTATTTTCTGCCTCTAATCTTTTTTTACCCCTCCTCTTCCTCTCCTGTCGCTGTTGGCGTCTGATGATCCATCTCCCTACTTTCATCCCTCAATCCACTTCTCCATTACTCTATGCTACTTCCTCCTCCATCTCTCTTCTTCCCCCCTCTCTCTCTTTCTCTTTTCCTCTCGTTCCTCTGCATGAATAGCTGGGATGCTTTTGTAGATGGTTTCCATGGAGACGGGCCGTTTGAGAAAGTTGTCCGTTTGCTGTAAACCAGAGAGATGCCATGTTATCTGGCCCTCTCCGTCACAGAGACCCAGCCTGACCGTAAAACCCTCAGGAGAAATTGGGGGTGCGAGTTATCAATTAATGAGTTAACATAAAGTTGATGGAAGCAGCCATTTTGTAAAAAAAAAAAAAAAAAAAAAAAAAAACCTGAGCTTTCTCTTGTATCAAGGGGATCTTTCT